AGCAGTCCTTACCAGTGGATCATTCACTATGTCCCTCCAGGAGTGACACACCAGGCTCAGGTTCTGATACAGATCAGTCACTGGTAGGAAAGCAAAGATGTTCCTGAGGACTTCAACAGGCAGCTTGTCAATACTTGCCTGAGGCACTTCCCAGTTCCGAGTCCCCAGGAGTCCATAGTGTGCATCAGGGACTGGTTCGATTTCCATATCATCAAGTTCCTGCTTGATTTGGCTGCGTTCCTGCTTGATCTGGCTGTGTTCTCGATGAAGCACCATTAGCTTCTTCTCAGGCTCACCCCACAAATCGTGCTCTGGCTTGTGAACACGTGCAGCTGCAGTGGACAGAGGCCATTTTCTGGATCTTTCCCTGGGAGCTGGTACAAAGTCCTCATCCTCTAGAAGGGAGCAGGAATCGCTGCTGATCTCCATCACAGTGGAGACACTGCTGAAGGAATTATCAGGTCCAGTGAAGATGGGATCCAGTAGCTTTTCTTTGTTTCTACAGTTCTTCATCCCACCAGCACCTACTTGTGTCTGAGAGATCCTGAAGTAATCAGTGATGTTCTTCTGCTGACCTTGGCCTGCAGAAAGAGGAAGAGCATGAGTGAAGTCAACAGAAACAAGTGCAAAGCGCACTGCTGCTAACTGAGCTAACAAGGAGACCAGAGGTTGTGTGAGGTGGTAGTTATTTCCATGGGGTTCCTCACAGATGTATGAGCTTACTACAGGTGAACTGTCCTGCTTCATATTCCTTCTCTGGCAGCCTACAGAAGTCAACAGAACAACATTCATCTCTTTGCACTGTCCACATAATCTGGGCACTGTCAAGGTACACCTGACACCTCCACTAGCTTCTAGAAAAAGATATGGTCTGCATAACAATCTCTCAGATCAACAATCCTTAGCTCACATAACACAGCGGATGCCTGTTAAAAAGAAACATGGCTGCACAATAAATTTCATGGGAGATACTTCCACTAGCCAAAGAAAGAGAAATAGGAAGGAAACAAAATGCGAGACCTGAGTTGTTGCGGTGTCCCTCAGACTGAGGTTGGGTTCCCAGGGGTTATTTATTGTTCTTAACCCAGTGAATGAGAAGCACACTAAGATTTTAGAAACGCTTCAGGATTTAACTACTGCTCTGCACCATGAGAAGGTCACAGCACCAAGCCTCTAGCAGGCTGTTCCTACCACAGTATAAGAGAGACTAACGCCTTTAAGAGGATAAACAGCCATTTCTTGCAACATACTTCCTGGCTGCAATGTCAAAAAGCACTGGAGACGATAAAGAAAACCGAAACTTGGCAAGAGACTGCTCTCAGCAGCCTCTCCTTTCTCTGACAGCCATGCAGTCCATGTAGCACACAGACTAAACTTACCAGCACTGATAGTATTCATTCTGTCTACCTCCTAGTCTGCAACATATCATGATGCTTAGCTAAGGGGCAACTCGAGAAGAACAAAATCACAAGCAGCTACTGCTGATTTTAATGCATTTTATTTCTGGATGCTCATGAAGGCATAGCTTAAAGAGGTCTGATTTGCAAGACGCTGCTTAAAAAGAACAGCTTCCTCGCTAATGTGCAAGTCCAATACCCTAAAACCTGGAGCATCTAAGATGACTAGATTTTTAAAAGTGAGCTAGCCAAAGATACTGCTTATACAAAAATGGAAAATTATGTCTACGAGCACAGAGTCTAGGACTCTGGTGTCTTGTCCCAGCTCACCAGCAGACATTCTCTGTGAAGTGATTCAGCTCACACCAAGGTACAGAGAGATTCCCAAGCCAGCCAGGGAAATACTGAAATGTTCCTAAGTCTAACCTTCCACACAGGAGCTCAGGAATAACTCAGGATGTTTTTTCTTTGCTTTCTACCTCTCTCCTTGCCTACACGTGCGTGTAGTGTCTCTTGTTGTTATGCAGGTTTTGAGGCTGGGCCTTTAACCCTGCAACATGAGCTATTGGAAAGCAGCCGTTTCACCTTCAGTTCGAGCCCTGAGCCCTGTTGTGTGCAGATTAGCTCAAAGTCTTATGAATCCTCAAAAGCCCTCTAAAGCTTTGGCACTTTTGAGACCCATGTCTACAAGTTGTGTATCGCAATGTTTCCCACTCCCAGGAAAGCTGAAGATCAGTAATATCTGTCAAGTGCTCAACAACACTTTTGCAGTCCTATATAACTAGACAGCTCATTATTATTTAATAATTATGTCTTAAAGAGCATCTAGAAGCAGGAGTCACATCATTAACAGTGCCTAATTGCGGCAGCTGTAGCGTTCCTCACAGAGAACTGCGGTTCTCCCCAGGTAGTCTCTGACAGCTCAACGACAGAGGCACAGAGGCATTTCTGGTGTGAGGAGAGACTAAATACACATGTGAAGGCAAACTCACTCCCCCATAGAGGGAAGCAGTCAAGGTATCTTTTTTTCTTGCCACTTGGCTTTGCGGAGGCAGAGATTAAGCCCAGTTTTGCCATGCACCACTCAAACCCGACCAATTTCTTCTATTTGCACTCACCTCGCCTGGCTTTACTCTCCTATCAGCACAAGTTCAATGACAGATTACACAACACCCTTTTGCTCTACAACACATTAGCCTTTTTCTCCCCCAAATCCCTCAGCCTTCGAAGTACTCGCCATCAGCATACCTCCTTGATGTCTCCGTGTCCGGTGGGTGGGATGGAGGCCCCTGTTTACAGCTTCTCTACTTTGTCTTTGTCTCAATGGCTGCGTCAGGGAGGATGAGCCTTCTGCGCTCTGCGCGAGAGCTTTGCAGTCGTCGGATGTGAGATGCTTTTTTTTGAATCGCTTCATTGCTTTGCCAACATGCAAAAAAGAGACCCCCAAAACAGTTAACAAACAACAATATACAGTCCACGCCTTTAACAGAGGCATAAGTACACAGTTTCAGCCAGTTTCTCTGAATAAATCATAGCAGAAGGTCGTACAACGCTCCGGTGAGGTGCTAAGGAGGATAACGCATCATGTCAGGGCGACACCTCTGCAGTCACTGCAACAGCGACATCACCCCAGGTCCCCCATTCCTGCATTGTACAAGGGTTTGGAACAAAAGAGAACGATGTAAAATCAGAATCCATGCAAGTTTTGCGGCTTTCTCTACAATACCATAACACGGAGGAAGCAGATACAGGTATTTGTGTAAATGCGAAGTATCATCAGGAGGCTGCCAAGGAAGCCTGTGGAGGCTGAACTGCACAACCCCCTGCGAGAGACGACAGTGACTTGCCCGGGCAAGGTCAGAGCCAACATTCAAACACACAAACTTGAGCCTCTCGCAAACAGATCCAAGCTGGGATCCTCCATTAAGAAGGAAACACAAACCACTCGCAACACAGCTCTTCCCCATGAGAAGGACGGTTAAGAAGCAGCACAAAACTATCTGAAGAGTTATTTTAAGAAAACCTCACTTGAAATTTGCACGAGCTCCTCTCTTCCATACACGGGACAGCCAGCAGAAAAAGTACAAACAGTGCAGCTTGCTTCTACCGAAAATGCTCACAAGAGACCGGAAATGATGGCCAAGGATGGGCTTCCTTCTGACAGAATTATCAGCAAAAGACTGGTTTCACTTTTAGTTTATTAGTACACAGTGCTGCGGAGGATAAACTCCTCTAACGTGTTTATGGCAGCCACAAAAGTAATTGACTAATCTGGTACAGCAGGATCCAAGGGTCAGTTTGTTTCATTACACTGCTTTCTCCTTTTCACGCATGTCAGCTCGACAGAGCGGCATTAGAAGCACCCACTGAGCTCCCCAGGGAGGCTGTTTTCCAACATCCCATGTTCCTCAAAATATGGCACATGAGGCAAGAAGAAGAAAAAAAGCAATGCAAGACAGCCCTGTGGCATTTAGGGACATGGTTTAGTGGTGGACTTGGCAGTGTTAGGCTTACAGTTGGACTCGGCAATCTTAAGGGTCTTTTCCAACCTAAATGATCCTATGATTCTATTCTATGATTCTACTTAAAAATGGTATTTCTCACTTGAAATTGGAAAGTTTATTGGATTAAACAGCACAAATCACTGAAATGCCCCAATTCTCTTAAGCACACGGTCCTGGCAAACGTCAGAGCCGAGGTGCCGGCTCTGTGCCCATTCCTGGAGCTGTTGGACACAAAGGTCTCACGTAAGATTGGATGTAGGGCTGGGGGCAAAACCTCTGCTCCCCCACCCCAGGACAGCAAAACCCCCGATGTGCCAGAACCATGGCAGAGGGTTCAAGTCCAGAAACCCAACACAAGAAGGTGACCCGCTCAGTCTTCACCTGTGTTCATCTTTCCTCCCTTTTCCCCAAGATTTTCCACGGGTGACAGCAGCGGATGCAAAAGTGCTGAGCGAAGGGCCGCGTCACGGTCTATGGCTTCAATCCCGTCCGTAAGGAAGGTGACGGGGAGCGGAGCTCGTCAGCCACCAGAAGACGCCCCAGCTGTGAAGCGAAAGGATCAGCCAGCAGCAGCAGCAACAGGGGATGGGAGAACCTCAAGGGGGACAAGAAATATTTGGGAGGAGAAGGTCAGACCTGCTCCACCCCCAACCCCAGCACGTTGTTTCCAAACCCTTTCCCCACACGGATGCACTGACCTTGTGCCCCCCAGCATGGCACCCGCACGGGGAGGCCTCCCCACAGCCCACGGCTCCCCCCCCCCGGCCAAGAACAGCCCCCCACCCCATTACCAGCACCCTCCATAGCCAAGGGCCCTCCTCCTCTGTGCCCCCCATCACCAAAGCCCCCCCCCATGCCAAGAGTT